CTCTTGAAGGTCCCTGCCAAAGTGACTTCTCTCTGTGCCTCTAAGTTTCTCCATGGTCTCCAGTATGATAAGCAAGCCCACCCCACCCTGTGTGTCTGGGCTCCTTTGATCCCAGTTTATGACTCCAGTTCTCTGTGAAGCAGAAACAGAGGCAGGCTCCTCACTGTGGGGCAGCAAAATGGCAGCCGACCCTTGCTAGAGTGGCCTGCTACATTCTCAGCCAGGAAGAGCTCTGTGCCCTGCATCCCAATACTATTCCATGTCTGTTGGCACCTCATTCTGTACTGTTCTGTTTTTCTGGTGTCAGATTTCAGATGGGCCAGTCTCAGGCCTAGGCAAATAAAACAGCAGCTAAGACATTTTCAACTCTGCCAGCTAAGGGAGTATTTGCTTGTTAGTCATTAACCTAGACCAGGAAAAAAGCCACACCCCTTCTCAGGTGGCCTCCATGGCAGACAGGATAAGGAGCAACATTAGTGTTTGCCGATGTCCGGCCAACCAATCCACCAGGCATTCATTAGCATTGATTTCTAATCCCCACAACCATGCTTAATGGAAGGCAGGCAGCCTTGGTGTTTGGATAGGGAAACTGAGGCTTAAAGCCTGGCATCTTTGTGCAAAGCAGCCCATTAGCAAGAGGCAGAAGCAGAGGCAGAGCAGGGTAGTTAGCTCAAGTGCAGTACTAGATTCACCAGTACACCATCCACAAAAAGTCAGCGTTGAAGACGAAGATGCACAGAACCCTTTCCCCGACCTGTGTACTGTGTAGAGTGTACTGTGGGCTCTAGACTTCCCGCCTGCTTGTGTAGGCCCATCTTACTGTGGGTTTAAAGTAGATTGCTGTTAAGGTTTGAATGTGAATTCTCCCCATCTGGTGGCACTGTTTGGGGAGGTTGGATGTTTAAGGGCTTTTTGGAGCTAGGCCACAATAGACAGGCTTTGAGTATTGTAGCCCAGCTCTATTTCAGGTCAAAGCTCTTGACTTCCTTGTCATGAAGTCACTGCTCTAAGCTCTTGCTACCATGGCCGACTGGACCACTCTAGACACTATGCCTTTCCCACCAGGATGGGCTGTAATTCTCTGAATCATGAGTCCAGATAAATCCTTCCTCCCTTAGGTTACTCCTCCTGGGATTTGGACACCGAGATGAAGACAGCAGCTACCATAAGCAGGCTTTTCCCTAACATGGAGCCCGCTCCTACCTCCTGACTTGCTCAGTAGTGTCTCAAAGCAAATGCTCATGTGTGCCTCACTGCACTGTTTGTCTTCAGCAGACTTCCTCGGCCTCTTGCTGGTCCAGTTTTGCACTCTCCACAAGAACGGTGCTGCTGTGTGGGTTTTCGGCACCTCCTGTCACCACTGCCAAGATGACGGGTCCTAGGCAATGGGTGCTGAGCATCACAGAACTGGGGTCAGAGGAGGCCAGAGCTGAAATCAGTTGTTTAGATACAAAAGGGGCTAACCTAGTTAGTAACAGTGTTGAGACTGGAGCCTGGATCTCTTGGTTCCTTTCCAGAATTCTCTCATCCTTCAAGGCTTCTTGATGAATGGTGCATGATATAATGTCTGGAAGGCTCCCTCTTGTTCACCAAGGTTGCACACCACAGCTGGTAGCGGTGACTCCTGGTCTCCTCCTAACACTACATGTCCTGAGAAGACCTCTGCTCAGTTGCTGGAACCAGACCTGGAAACACTTTCTCTATTTCAGCTCTTACAAGTGTGCACAGGAGAGAACATGCTCCAAGAGGCCACAGTAGAAGTGGAAAGAAGGATAGTGACAGCCTGGGCTTGTGCACAGGCTGCTGTCATCTGTTCCTTAAGCAAACCACCAACACAGGCTGCAATCACGCCCACAGCTGACATTTGAGAGGCCCAAAGCAAATGCAATGAAGGAGGCCCACGCACCATGTGTCTAAATATTTGAACATTATAAATCAAACTAATAAACTTCGAAATAAGGTTTGTTCTCCCCTCTTGCCTTGAGAAATAGACATTTACAATAACCTCAAAGGCCAGGCTCTGATTTCACATCTTGTGGGGTCCCTGCAGTCTTGGGCTATGAAACTCAAAGGGGCAGAAGGAATGAGGCATGCTCTCTCTTTTCTGTTTTCCCACCCTAGGGACTTAAGTTGGGCAAAGGAGCATCTCAGTCCAGCCTCCATCTGAGTCTCACAGACCACAGGCACACAGGGGAGTAGCCAAACATGACTATTTTGTGTCTATGTGTGTGTACATGTGTGTGTCTGTATATGTGCTTTGTATGTGCATGTGTGTTTGTGTGTGTGTATATATCATCACACATAGTGTTCATACAGGTTCTAGAGATTGACCTCAGGAGTTACTTCTTCCAACACAGCTATTTCTCCAGGAACTTCCTGGATCCTGCTACCAGACTGGAGAGCAAAAAGGAGGTGGGCACTGTGAGAGACACCTCTCGGGCCCACAGCCACTTGATCTGGAGCAGAGCCAGGGTAGAGCTGCCACACGTATCCTCTTACCCACAATCAAGCTAACGTCAAGGAAAGAGTTTCCGCTCATCCACGAAGTCACCGCCTATCAAAGAACCTTAGGGACTGCCTCCCACACCCCAAACACCAGCAAGGCCGACACTTGACCCAGTCCTCCTAACTCCTGAATGTTTGTTGAGCTCCTCCTCTCTGCTACCCCCTTGCCATCCTCTTGGGGAAATTCAAAGCTGATGTCCTTCTCCCCCATCAGCATCTGTATGTCCTTTGCTTCCTGCCTCCAGTGACGGAAAAATCACCTGTTCACAGGTCTCCTTCCTCACATCCCTTCAGGCAGCTTTCCTAAAACACAGGTAAGCTGTGACCCCGCCCTGGGGACTTCACCACATATCACAGTTCAGTCCCTGGCACCTATACTGCTGACCTCAGTCAAAGGAGACTTCCTCTGTGTGTAATTAGGTCCAGTTCATCTTCTCACCCCCAGTACTCCTTGAAGCCTCTCCTGGCCCACACCCACCTAGCTTCTTCCCTCGGCTCGGAGGCATCTGCCCCTTTTCTGACCCCAGCAACAAAGTGAATGTTCTGTTCATTATCTTCCTAGTAACGAGTTGTAACTAGGCTCTGTGCCTAGGGTGACTGGCCCCTAAGTGGACCTAGTGGACTCCCTACAGCACAGGAGCCTGCTGAATGGACCGAGAGATAAGGAGGAATGCCTCAATGACAACCACCTCCTTGTTCCTATTGAAAGTCAGAGTATTATCGTTTGCTGGGGAAAGTCTCTTTCAGGAGCAGCTGGCAGAAGTGGATAGACTCTGGCCCAGGACTTGGCATCCTAATTGCTCTCTGGAGACAAGAGGGGTGTCACCACCCATCCCATAGCCTGGCAAGGTCAAGGTCTTTTATTTAAGGTGGTCCTTCATAAGCCCAGAGTAGGGTCTGATATTTACAAGATATTATTATGAGGGTGGTCAAAGAGCCAACCCAGGAAAATAGTGAAAGATGGGGCACTTTATGTTTTAATTTTAAAACCTCAAAAGGAAAGGGTGGGTTTTTCTTTTGCTTGCCTCAGCATAGCTGCAGATGACTAGGATGAAAGGGGGTGACCCTCAAAGGTAGTGATGAGAAGTGAAGGCCCCCTATCTTCCACCCTGCCTGCTTGTTTGTTGAAAGAGGGGCCTGTTCTCACCCCAGGGTCATGTACAAGTCACAGCGGTTTCTAGCTTCTGACAGGTGAGCAGGGGCCCTCCAGGGACATCCCAGAATGGAATGGCACAAATGATTTGTGGTGAGTAGTGACCTGGTCAATCAAGGCCTTGGCTTCTAGTCGGTTTATGCCCCAAAAGAGGTGCTTTTAATTCCTTGTCTCTGTGTACAGCATCCCTTCATTTTCTACACACACACACACCACGGAGCATGATGCAGACCACCCACACTGCGCTCCATCGAGCGGTGAGCGGGAGGGGTATGCTGGGGGTTGAAGGTCACGCCAGCAAAAGAGGGCAAGGGTCATCCCTTAAAACCACAGCAACTTGACTCAAGAGACAGAACACGCCTTTGGACAAGAGGAGAAGGGGTGGAAGTGACTTAGAGTTATTCACTTGGAAAGACCCTTACACCCTTAGGGACCGAGGGAAGGTGCTAGATCCCAGGTGGTCTGCGACAATGAGACCACCTTCCGGCATCTCCCCAAGGCCTTATGTTCCCGGGGAAGCTGCTCTCCTGTGTGGGCGTCTAACGCCAGCCTGCAGTCAGGCTGCTCCTAAGAGCCTGTAGGCAGGACAGTCTTGCTTCTGTTCTCTGTGGGCCCTCGGTGCTAGCAGCAGTTTGAGGTGCCCACGGAGCAGGGTTGGGCCTCAGGCCTGACCTTGAGAGTATTTGGACAGGTACAACTGCTGCAGTGCCCAAGAATGAGGTGCAGGTGGTTAACGGGGCAATAGGGTCGGGTCAGGCCCACCAGCAGCGCCGGCAGCTCTTTCCCCTTAACGCCCCTAGTCTCAGTTTTCCTATTTGAGAGCTAAGCCGAAAGTGCCCACAAATGCCCACCCAGCTAGAGTCCTGAGATGGTGTGACACGCGCGAGCCAGTGCCAGTCCGTCTGGGTTGGTGTCTGCTGCTGGGATCAGGAACCCAAGCCTTTTGCGGATGGAGTGCAGCCAGCCTTCCCTGCCCTCTCCCACAGCGAACTGCTGACAGTGGCAAAGCCACATTACCATGCTTGGGGCGCGCGGGGGTGTTGGGGTGACGGGACGGGACAGGACTCGGTTAACGAAAAAAAAAAATGAATGTTTGGGTTTGATTTTGTTTGGGGCTTGCTGAGAGCTCCTGTTTGGACTGGGCCCTGGCACAAGGAAGAAGACTCGGGGGTCTTTAGGACCCGGGCGCGCTCGGACCAGCTTTGCCGGGGACCTGCCGTGGCTTGAATGGGAGGCGGGCGGCGGCGCCAGGAGGCTGGCGGCGGAATAGCTCTGCGGTCGCCAGGCAACCGCCCTGACGCAACGCAAAAGAACGTCCCTTCAAAAGAGAACGGTGCGGAGAATTCTCAGTGCTCGGGAGCTCGGGAGCTCGGGAGCTCGGGAGCTCGGGAGGCGGGAGCCGAGCTCCGAGGGCGGGCGCGGGCTGACAGCGGGGACCGCGACGCGGACGACTCGACTCGGGCGCGAGAGGTGGGTTCGCGGCGGTGCGGGTTGGCCGAGGCGCTCGAGCGCCCACGTTTTCAGAGCGGGCAGTGGGGGGCTCTGGATCTCACAGCCCTGGGGGGCGGACACCGCCGTAGGACAGCGTGGTCCCTTCTCATTTGTTCCTGGTGTTTCAGGCCTCTCTGGAAGGCGTGGTGTATCAGGTGTGGGACTCCATGCCTTAGATCCCAGCTCTCTGTTGATCCTCCCAGGGCTATGTAGGATTCCCGGTGGGGACTTGGGGGTCTGTAATCCGAGAGAGAGGAACCCCTTGAGACTTTGGTTCAGATCTACTCATCTAGGCTGGTGACCCCAACACCTGTTCTTCTAAGAGAGATGAGAGTTCCTGGCCTCAAAGGTTCAGTCCCTAACTCTGAAGTGACCCAGGGCGCTTAGCTCCATGGCACCCCAAGAATGAGACCAGGGACACCCAGGGACCGCACACCCAAATGTTGCTCAGGGAATGAGCAGGTCAGCCATGAAGCCGGGCGTTTGAATGGCCAGAAAGAACAAGGGGCTGTTACAGATGGGCCATGGGGGTCGGCTTTCTCTCAGATGTGGTTTCTGGGTGCATCAGTTCTGTTGTGGGTAATCCCTCCTGGGGACATCTGGAAGATGAGTTGGCTCCAGCTGGTGTCCACAGCTTCTTACGCTTACAGCAGGTTCTGTCTATCCCCAAACCATCATTCCTGGAGAGTCCTGGATGAAACCAAGTCCTGTACAGAATGCCCGGTAGATGTGGCTCCAAAGTAGCTTCTCTTCCTACACACCAGAGTTCTCCCCTCCCCTCTTTTCTCCTCCCTTCTCTCCTCTCTTCTCCTCTTTCCTCTCTATCGCCTACCAGGCTTAGCACTCACACCTGTCAAAGCCCTGGCAAGCCCATGGTAACTAAGGTACCTGCTAACCTGTCCTCGTCCTCGGGATGGGAGATCCCGCCAGAGTGGTTTTCAAGAGCTTGGCAAAGCAACTACAGTGCTGTGGCTTCAAGCAGTAAAAAGTGACAGTGCTTCTCTCCAGAGTGGTTTCTACTGATCTCACTGCTGAGAACCCGTGGTATCCTTGGTCACTTGAGCCTTACAATTACCCTCTAAGGAGACAGCATGCATCTTTGTAGTCTGAGAAGCAAAGAAACTTGGAGCAGATTGTGTGGCTTTGGGAAATGCAGAGGCATCCGTGTGCCTAACTCCCTGCACTGCAGAAACACTCTTAGAGGAAGATTGTTTCGGGAGGCCAGGGGATCCACTGTGGCCCAGAGACAGGAAGCGACTATTCACACCCACATGAAATCACAGTCACGAGGGGCACTTTTCACGGCCTAAGAAAGTTCCCTGCACCCAGCACTGCATTAACTGGACTTGGTAGCACATCCCTGTAATCCCAGCACTTGGGAGTTGGAGGCAAGAGGTCCAGAAGTTCAAGAACAGCCTTGGTTAGGGCTGGAGAGATGGCTCGGTGGTTAAGAATACTGTCTGCTCTTCCAGAGGTCCTGAGTTCAATTCTGGGGGCAACCACATGGTGGCTCATAACCATCTATTATGTGAACTGAATGCCCTCTTCTGGCATGCAGATGTAAATGCAGAGAGAGCACCCATATACATAAAATAAATAAATCTTAAAAAAAATTATCCTTGGTTACCTAGAAAGTTTAAGACCAGCTTGGGCTACAGGAGACCCCATTTAAAAAAAAAAAAAAAGAAGTAACTGCATTCTCATACCCAAGTGCACTTTAAGTCACTGAGGAAGGCAGATCCATTTTGAAGGAGACCAAGAAGGATGAGATTGGCTCAGCTTAAGGGAAACAGGAAAGCTAGGCTAGCAGGCTAGAGTTTAGCAGGAAGTGGCAGTTGAGCCTTGCTACTTGGCGGTCACCTGTAGCCTCTGAGCTTCCATAAGGGCTAGGTTGACAGGATCTGGGGAATTGAACCAGGGGTCCTGCTCCTTAAGGACCAATTCTCTCCCCAGTAACGGTTACCTATTCCCTTTTGAGTAAAGAACAAAGGAAAGGAGAGGGAAGAGGACACCAGGGGTCAGAGGTTGTATGACCCTTCCTATTCCCACCCTGTCCTCCTGAGCACCACACCCTACCATGCCACCATGCCAGATCACCTCAGGAGCAGCTCTGTAGACAGTCTCCCTGAGTCCCATGAGCATCAGGGGAGTCCCCTGTTCTTTAAGATAGCTCCCCTGCATCAGGCCCTCTTGACACTTCAGCCTCTCCAAAAGTCCCCTGGCATATGATAACTTCCTTTATGGAGGGATATCCAGAGTACCACCCAGGGGAAAGCTTCTATTTCTCACCTCAGACTGGTAGACTGAGCCCTCCTTCCTCCCTGGGGCTAAAAACTCTTCAGGATACCCTGATGTGTATGTGGGAGCTGCTTGGTGGTGGATCCTCAGAACTCCCTTCCAGGATGTGTTCCGTGGGCTGTAGGGCAAACCTGGGTCAAACCTCATTTTCCAGGCTGAAGGGCAGACCAGCATGAGTCCTATGCAGTGGCCACTGTTCCGACTCTTAAAGGCTGGCCTGTATTTCCTCATTCCAAGAAGTCAGCAGAGCCTCTGAGAAGTGCCTGCGGACAGACAAATGGCAGCTGGAAGGACCTGGGTGGGACAGTAGGTGTAAAAACCTTGAGCAAGTTGTGATGAAGACTGGCATGGCCAGGAGGCCACAGAAGTGGGGGCTGGCTTTTCCATATTTACCACCAAGTCAGAAGTGACATCAGATGCCTAGCCTTTGAGCGTGCACAGATGCGGAACCCCAGGGACATAAGACAGACATAAGCCTGACCAAACCAAGTAGTCAGAGAGGCAGATGCTCCTGGCTCAGAGCTGGCTGTGCTGTCACCTCATCTGTCTTGTAGACTGGTTGGTAGCAGCTGCTGAAAACATGGCGGAAGGTGACTGCAAGCCTGTTACAAGTTTGAGTGAAGGCAAGCCTGACAGCGAGTTCTGCCCACACGTAGGCATCTTTGGATGTGTTTGCTTCCAAAGCTCCAGCAGGTCCTGGGGGGCTTTCTGACATCCCAGACATCTGCCTCTGGGTACCCTGACCACCCCATCCTTGGAGTACTCCCTAGATGCTTTTACAAGTCCATCTGTCCCTCAACATCACCCATCAACCCCTCCCTCTGGAATACCTCAGTCTTCAAAAAGATCAGAAAAAAGAACGTGTTTGCTTTGCTGATTGCTGGGTGGTCGCACTGCCAGGGAGAACAGCAGCACACCTGCACTGCTGCCTCTGGAAGGGGTGGGGATTTCCCACCCAACGAACCGTGGAAGGACGGAGTCTCCATTTGAATGCAGCTGGGCACAGCTAGCCTGATGAAACCACTCAGAACAGGTCTCTTTAACCTCAGAGTCTTTTAGGATCAAGAAGAGCACCATGTGGAGGATTTTTATAATGGTGGCCTTGGCCTCAAGGAACGAAGACTCTGGTCAGGGCTGTGGAAGAATAAATTTGTACAGGGCACTAAGTCGGTGCCCTGCCTGTCTTAGAGCATACAGACATGCTTTGCTGAGTGGTAGTGGTTGAGAAGCTGCTTTCCCAAGGGACAAGAAAAGGAGAACACCGGCTGGGCACAGTCCAGGGCAAGAGGTAGCAGTCCATCTTGGCCACAGCATGCTCCTGCAGGCAGCTGCAGGCCACTCTGGGCATCCCCATCCTGACTTAGAGCAGCTGTGATCCTACTGCACCCTTCACTGAGTCCCATCCAAACTCCAGAAAACCCAAAGACCCTCCAACCCCCGGGCAGTCAGCATACCCAGATAGTGTGTGGAGTAGTGTACGGTGCTCGAGTAGACAGACTGTGCACCGGGAATTTTCTTTAAAGTCCTTGCAAAAACAGTTGGGCCACCAGGAGCTTGCAGAATGAAATAGAAAACAAATAGAACAGATCCCCACTTGAACCAGGCTTTGTTGATTCTGCTTGTTTCAAGTTGGAGCCTATTATCATCGATTTGAATAGGTTTAACTGCCTTGTTTGGGGGGGGGGCTGGGACAAATGCCACTTGGGATATTTTCCAGTGGACTGCTATGTCCTTAACTGTGATGTGGTACCTGAGTTTCCTGGGAAGCATGCACTGCTCCTGTAGCGAGGGCACACACCCCAGCTGCCTTCTGCTTTTAGAGCTACAAACTGCCCCAGAGGCCATTCTGTGTCTGATTCCGTGGAGCTACTCTGGTCTTTGGAGAGAGTTCTGTGGTCACATGGGATGGGTGGCTAAGACAGTGGCAGACTACCTTACCAAGGCTCCTCTTTCCAGGAGGACCTCCTTCCTCCTCTCCATTTCTCAAGGCTCCTTACCGCCCCTTTATTCTGCCTCTCAGTTACCTTCCTCCACATTTGCCAGAGAACTCCTAGCCCAGGGCTATGGAGGGGACAAAATGAGGAGTCTGGGTGTCCCCATAGCCCTCTTCCTTCTTGCAGCAGCCCCATGCTTTCTGCCCTCCTTTCACGGCTGATGCAAATTAGCTATATGGACTCCGGGAGCCATTACCTCTCCCATACCCACAGAAAAACACACATCTTTCTTGGCCGTTTTCTGGGCAACTTTTTTCACTGGGCAAAATGAATGCAAACTCATAGGCGTCTTGCAGGAAGCCCATGGAGCCGAGCTTATCAATTATTCAGCACTGACCTAACACTTTGCATTTGCAAAGGTCTTTATAAGTATTTTTATAGATTCTTTGCCCATAGTATCTCACAGTGGCAAAACAAGGCTCCTGGTCTCTTAGACAATGAAAGCAGGACTCTGAAGATTCAAATCCAAGTCTAGTTAGCCCCACGAATGGAGCCATGTGATTCTGGGCTGGTCTCATGATGTCTCTCTCTGGTTTGGGGTTTCTATGGGGCCTGACTGTTAGGAAGGTTTATTTAGCCCAGGCCACAGAAAAAGTTTATAAGTGGCAGTGTGGTTTGAAAATGTTTGTGGATGATCTTATTTCAGGTATGCAGCTAGAAGCATTGAATCCTGAGTGGAGGGGCAGCCATTAGCACACTGAAAGCCAAGCCCTTCTGGGTGAAGGTCCCTGGGAGAACGCAGGTAAGCGGCTTCCGTTGCCTGCGTCTCTGAAATGTGATTACCCACCCACTGGCTGCTACGACCTGAGAAGCTGTCCCAGAAGGGAGTGGAGGCACGTGCACACGCAGCGTGTTCACTGAGAGCTCAACAGCAGCTCTTGGGTCGTGTCTATCCAGGGAGGTCGGCTTGGGGCTGACGCCTTTCTCCTCATCCCCAGGCCAAGCCTTCCCTGAGTGCTTGTTTCCATCTCCCTCAGGAATGCTGCGATCCCAAGGGGAGAACAGCTGGGGCTGCCCAAGCATCCCCATGACTTTTATCGGACCCTGTGGTGTCTTCTCGTCGTCCCACACTGGAGCCCTCAGGCCTAGCTTCAGGACTGCCTCACTTAGATAGTTAATGAATGAGCTGCCTCCCCTCCCCCACACCCCTCCCCCCCACAGGCAGAACTCAGTTCTGCACCGTACAAGTTTCAAGAGTCATGTAGCAGAACCTGCCTCAAGCTCATGTCCCCATAGCAAAGCCTATTTGCAGAGGAGGACCCCAGTCAGCCTCTTTGGAAGGAAGGAATGGATTTTCGTGGTGCTTTGGATTGCAGGAAGCAGCTATCCAGGCAGCACCCAGATGGCTTCATGGTTGCCCTGGATGGGGACACACATACACACACAAACACACACTAACATAATTAGCCCTCTCCTTGCCCACAACTATGGCCAGGGACACCCCATTTCAGGTGCTCCCAACTGACTAGGAACTGGAATAAAGATGGGCCTGGGAAGGGGAAAGATGACTGGTGGAGGGCCAGATCAGCGGGTGTCCCTCCTGCTTTAGTTACCATGGCAACTCCAAGGAGAAGGAAAAGGGCTCTGGGTAGTGCCCAGCTTGTGTCAGCAGCTCTGAGCGGGGAGAGGGGGGGTGGGCGGAGGGGGGAGCTGTGTCCCCCTCCTCTCACCCCTAGCTGGTCAGTGCTGAGGCCCATCTGTCAAGCATGGCTGGTCATTATGGCAGACCACACCTTCCAGGTTGTGTGAGCTGGACAGGAGCTCCCCACCCCATGTAAGATAAGCATTAGGTTTATCTTTAAACCTGGGCAGATAAGCCTTCTGCCACCTGAGAAAACTGTAGAGCTCACTGCATGCCTTTCCCTCCTCATTTCATCCACCCCCCGGCTCTATGACAGCTTCATCTTCAGAGAAGGAGCCCAGAGACAAGGAGGTGAATGTAGGCTGTGAACTCAACTCGCTTTGTCCTCCACTCCACAGCCTTGGGGACCGCTCAGAGCACAGCCTGTGGGTAGAAACAGAGGGTGCCATGGGGGCTGCCTACCCTAGCATGTTGATTAGGAGGCCAGAGACATTGTCCTTAGTTGTTTTACAACGTTCTGATGGAACGTTGCTACTTGTTGACATGCAAATGCACTCAGCAGAGTTACACAGACTTCCTTGTACTCACGTGAGTCTGTCCACTGACCGGGCCTGGTCTGACTCAGCTGTACGGTGTTGGGCAGCCAGACGGGATTGGAGTGTGAAAGCCAGACTCGCTGAAGAGAGCCCATTCCCTATATCTGCCTTGCTAAGAAAAGTCAGATCCTGAAGGGGGGGGGGGGGCTTAATCCGTGGTGTGGCCAGTTCTTCATTCCAGAAGTTTCTCTAAATGACTAAGCGAGCAACACCAGCCCATGGCAAGTTTTCTGAATGGGTGGGACTTAGAAGGGAAGTAGCTAGCCCTGTCCGGATAGCATGTTCTGGAAAGTAGTACAGCAGCCCCGAGGAATGTGCTGGGAAGCTGTTGGGCTGTCACCAAGATAACCTAAGCTGCGGGCTGATCACTCAGTCCCCAACTCACTTTGTCCAACTGTGTAGTCTAGAAGACCTGACCTCAACCTTCCTCGTTGGATACATGTGGCATGTGGTCACAGTCAAGGCGGTCCTTGAGGTGGGGACAGCATCTCTGGACTGCAAGAGCTGGGACAGAGCTATCTATCTCCAAGACAGGTGTCTGCCAGAGGATATATGAGCCCTGTCCTGTTGGGATATATAACAATGGGGAAACCCTAGCCCTTAGCCCCAAGCTCAACCATGCTGACATCATCCCATTCACATCCACCTGGTTCCCTTACTCTGCTAGTTCTTCCTCATCTACATGCCTGTTTCTCTATATGCTGAGGTGAGTAGGCAGTCACCTCTTTTTTTCAGAGTGATAGGTATTAGAATCTTGGCAGTGTTAAATAATACTAGAAGCACAGTTGCCGGGGCAGGATCCAAATACTGTAGATGCTAGTGGAATCTCCAGAGAAGCATTCAAGGGCATGAGGCAAGAGGTGACTTAGAAGGAGACAGCATTTGTATACCTTGTCTCAGGCCTAAGGTGAGGAGTGTTGGGGTGCCATAGGTATCAGTGGAGAAGGCGTGTCGGGGTATAGCAGCCATCAGTGGGAAGCTGGCAGAAGACGGAGAACTCTCAGCTCTCCCCAGTAGGCCCCTGTTCCCAAGAGCCAGCCTCTTCAGCCTTGGGAGATCTTGCAGAGTCAGAACAATTGAGGCTCAACTGTGTTAAAGCCCTCTGGGGTGTGGATGTCCTGCCTGTGCTGAACCTGGAGCACCCCATCTGTCCCTATCTTGTGCCTTACTTGTCCCTAAGTAATGTGCCTTGTTTCCTGGGTGAAGATTACAGAGACTTGCTGCTATTCCTGGGCTGGGGTTTGGTAACACAGGTCTTTTGCTTCCAACCTGTAAAATCAACCCAGAGCAGTCGAGTTCTTGTACCTCTTTCTGGCAGCAGAAAAACAGTCTCCAGATGACATCAAGAGTTAATATCGAGAATGTCCCACTGGTTTGGACTGTAAGAAATCCATATGGACTGGCTATAGGAAGTAGATTATAGCAGGAGGCCATACCCCTGGGTATGAGTCTTGCTGTGGGGATTGTCACCTTGCTGTCGTAGCCCAAGAGAGGCACAGCTCCAAATAGCACTTTATGCTGGCCACACAATACAAATGTTTGTCCCAGGTAGGGCAGCCCGTTGGGGAAGGCACAGAGTGTATCTTCTTCCTCACAATGACCCCCGGGTGGCATTTCAGCTAGAAGGAGCAGAGGAAGTGTAATTAGCCACACATGGCAAACTGTCACCCTGTCCTCACCAGGTGCCACTTTTGCTGTTGACTGTAAATTAGCAAACAAGTATGAATGCAGACAGACTCAGTAAAATATTTACTAAGAAGGGGGTGACTGCCCGTCCTGTTAGTTCTCAATCACAGGTGGCACGCCTCTCCAAGGGACACATGGAAATGTGGGAGAAGCGAGTCTTTTGGGTGTCAGAACTTTTCATGACATTGTTTGACTCTCAGTTATATTTGTTGCCCGTGCAAATGAGCTGTGCCACCCCCACTGTGGCCAGGGCTCCTTAGTGTAGGCAACAGAAAGCAGCATGGTTGTAGGCATATTGGGCAGCCATCGGAAGAGAGAAGAGGTAAGGGCCAAGGAATAAAGCAGGCAGACACAGGACAATACCAGAAGTCAGAGCCAGCCCCTCGTTATTTGGTAGAGACCGTTGGCTAAGACCTCTGCATTCACAACTGTCTTGGGACTGGCATCCAAATGGCCACATGTGAATTCTCACTGGCTCTTCATCTGGGCCTCACACACTCTGAATTCAGAGCCCAGGCCTCTGATTGGTCAAGCTCAAGCCACATGCTTAAATATAATAATCAGGCCCTCAGCAGAAGAAGGGGACTGGGGGCTGGTCAGGTCGTCCCAGAAAACAGACACAATGGGTGTCTGGCCTGGCCTGCTTCCACACAACATGGGAGCTCCGTGTAGACAGCAAAGTTGGGGCTTAGTTGTGGTATAGAAATGAAAGCCAATACTAGCAAGCATTTGCTATGTCCTTTTACTTCCTTTCCCTACTGTGTGTTTCTGCTAGCCAGGTATAAGTGTCAGGAATCCAGCTGGAAGTAGCTTAGGTCCCAGATGAGAATCTGAAGTGCTGTATCATCAAAGCCAAGGTTGTAGGTTGTGGGTAGCTGAACAAATGTCTATTCACCTCAGGTGGGGAATCAGTGACAACCAAAGAAATGATGTACCCAAGTCTGGCTTAGTGAACCAATGGAGTTAGGTAACAATTAGAGTTACCTATAGAAACATTGCTCCTTCTATACCGATGAAGGATATGCCCATCTTCCTCTATCAATTATTAATTGCTGATATGCCTCAGGAAAGGTGGGCCTCGTGAGCGCCTCCCTCTCATGATGGAATACTAATGAGCCCAGTCTTGTATGGGTCTTCTCTGGGTTATATCAGCTGCTGAGAGTTCAAGAGGGCAACAGTCTCGTTCTGCCCAGAGAACAGTGTTCCACAACAGTCAGGCTTCTAACAAGGTCTACTTGAGGGCCTCAAACTGTCTTGTGTGTTTCATGTTGTACACAGGTAAATGTTTTCCCTGTGTTAGCAAGAGGCCCTTAATAACCCCAGTGACTGCTGGGAGTAAGGCCAGCTTGGGGTAAGGAGCACTCTTACTCATTAAGAGTTAAGTCATATGACTATTCCTGATGTGGGAGGGAATGTGCCCTAGGAACTGAGGGGTAGGGTTCCTCAAAACAAAGTGGAATGGTCTTTCTGGAGGACAGATGGCAGGAGAAGGTGCCAGTGGAAATGACCCCATCCAATGCTGAGCACCAAGGAAGTCCTCTCTGCTTCAGTTCAAAGTCCATGGCCCAAGCTGCAGCTGTTCCTGATTTGCCTGGAGAAGGGGAAAGGAGGCTTCCAATCTGTATCCAGGCACACAGGTACACAGACATAGGCTTGTTCAGGGACTTCCCAGTCAGGGCAGGGGAGGGGTAGGTGTGGCAGGTCCTGAGGACAGATAGAGGAGATGTCCACAGGAAGCCTGGGGGCTGCACTTCTGCTTCTCTGAGCCCGTTTAGCTGGCACACACTTGAGCAAGTACAGGCTGCAGAGACAGGGGTCTGTCTTCGTACCCACTCATTCCAGTTGATTTCAGGGGGCAGCAGTGTGCCAAGTCCTGGGTCTAGGACCAAAGTCCTGGTTCACACTGCGAACATCACAGCGTGGTAGAGGAGACCATCACGAAGGTCTTGATGGGGGCTGGAGAGGTAGTGCAGTGGTTAAGAGCACTGGCTGCCCTTCCAGGGGACCCAGGTTCAACTCCTAGCACCAGCATGGTGGCTAACTGCTGTCTGTAACTCCGCTTCTTGGAGATATGACAACCTCTTCTGGCCTCCTCAGGCACTGCACACATGTGGTACCCAGGCATAAATGCAGGTCAAACACCCCTACACATAAAATACAAAGAAATCTATAAAAATTGAAGATCCCTGGTATAAATGTGATGGTCTAAGAGGGGCAAGAAATCCTAAATACAGACACTAAGGGCTCAAGTCCCAACTTCATCATTGACTAGCTCTGTGACCTTAGGCAAATGACTACACCTGTCTGGGCTTCAGTATCCTCATCTGTACAATGGAGACGATAGTTTGTGCTTCATAGACTTCTATGTGCCTTCTTGTGTTAGGGCAGGCTTAATTTTTAGAATGACTCCTGGTATGGTTGCTCTGAGTAAGCATTAGCTAATCTTGTGGTGACATCATTGTTTTCCCGTGTGCTGTCATTACCAGAACACACTACTCAGCCAGCAAAGATTAAAGTAAGCTTCCGGAAGGAGAAGGGCCTCAAATCCCTGAGAACTGAGTTAGGAAGGGGGTGGGAGAGAAACAGCTGTTCAAAGTCAGAGGACTTAAGGGAGGCAGGAGAAGCAGAGTGTGTGTGTGTTTGTGTGTGTGTGTGTGTGCGTGTGTGTGCATGTGTTAGATTGTATCTCCTGAAGAGGAAATGATGGGTTCCAGTGGAAAGAGTAGGGGAGAGTATTAGCCAACAGACCCCTAGCTTTCCTCTGCCCAGGAGCTCATTGGGGAAGTGGGCTTTCGGGCTTTCTGGATGAACAAATTAGCTCATAATGAGACAAGGTGTTGGCTGATGGAACGGTACCTACCCACCTCCTCCAGCAGCCTAGGCATTAGCTCACAGCTGGCAACGCCTCTTGTGCTATCCTGAGAGCCAGGGAGCATGTCTGAACAACTGTCCTGTGTGCAGAGTGGGTCCCCAGGCCCACACATCTTCAGAAAGGCAGACACACCTGCAAGACTTGTCCCTGCTACTAACGGGATGCCTGCCACAAGAGGCATACCCAAGCCTGATGGCATTAAGGGATTGCGTTCTTCCTCTTGGTGCCCTGGGACTCAGGTCTGAGAATGCCCTTTGGCCTTCTACTTTGCTCTGAGCTCACTGGCCCCAGGAGAGTCTAGGCTAGGTAAAAAGCCTGTTGCTCAGCTCTTCCTAAGTCCAGGTTCAGGAACACCCTAGTGTATCAAGAAAGAAAGACAAAAGGGCCCTGCTGTCATTATGCCCACCCAAGAAGTTTCCTGTGGATGGCACCTGTCCCAAACACCCATCCAGTACCTTGCCACCAGCTCAGGAGGAAGCTAGCTAAGATGCCCACTTAGTGGGCAGTTGGTGACGAACCTTTCTCTGGGCACCTCTCCAGGCCTGTGTGGGTTACATTCCAGCCCAACTCCTACACCCAGTTATAGAGGAAGGAAGAAATCCTCTGGGCCTCTTCTGACACCAGGGTCATTTGATTTCCAAGGAAAGCTGAAAAACAGCAGAGACAACTCGGGTAACCCAAAAGGTCAAGGACCCACAGATGACAGCTCAGGGCAGTGGTGGTGGTGGTGGTGGGGGGGACTGGAAGGTGGCACCATCAATGAGTCACCTCCACTTTACAGCCTTTTAAAACGTAATTGTATCTAGGCTTCCTGCGTGTTGGGTGCAGTCCTAACAGCACCGTTGCTTTGTTTAAGCTCAGATTACCTACACCATTCACAGAGGCCTTCACTTTGTCGGTCCTCTGTAGCCAGCATCCCGAAATCCTTAGGAACTTCTTTCTTTTTTAAACCAAGAGCCCAGTGTTTCCATTTTACACCGAGCTCAGTCTGCAGCTTGTGCAGGTTCTAGCTGTACCAACATCTCGGAGGAGTATGGAGAGGCATGGGGCGGTCTTGAAGCCACTGACCCACAGCACAGACATATCCAGCTGTCTTCCGTCTTGGAGCTGGGTACAGAGAAATGGACTGGAACTAGATGGAGCTGTGTGTCCAGGTCTCAGATAGCAACTGCCTATGGCTAGCTCATGGAAACACCTCGCTTTTCCCATATCTGTGACCCTTACTTTGTAGTGCCCGTTCTCGTGCTTGTCTCTGGGATTAGGGTGTGGCTGGAGAAAGCCAGAGTATGTCCCCCCAACCCTGTATGGCCACCATGAAAGTAGAGGATCAAAGGCTGTCCTAAACTGACACATCTCATGGAGCTCTTGTGCCAGCCTTCTCTGAGTCTGTTCAGAAGTTGTAATTAAAACAAAGCCACACAGTGCGACTCAAGGGGAGACCCTTACCTAACCCTTGAGGCTTCGCCTTCTGCAGAGAAGCATGCAGGGACGGCCTTCCCACCTGTATCTTCTCTCCCAAGCTTTGGTGAGTAGGGGGCCTGCTCATGAGCCTGTCTAAACTGGACTTTCTCCACAAAGCTCTGCTGGCTGTGAGAGCGTCCTTGTCTGGGGAAGGAAGCTTTCTAGGGCTCAGATGCCAGGTGTGCTGAGAATGAAGGCTGGCACCTCGGCACATAAAGCAGACGGCAGGCACCTGGGAGAGGCCTCAGAAAGCCGCTCCCGAGTTTTCACACTTGGAGAGATCTGAGGAAGGCGATCGTGAGAAACTGCTGGGGCAGAACATCAAGAGATTCCCAGGATGCTAACAGTCAGAGACCACATGTGAAGCTATAGATAGTATTGACCCCTTTTAGAAAAAGCCAGACAGAGGCTCAGCGAAGCCTGCAGCTAGGGTCAGATCCCAAGCTCTGTATCTCTAAGGAAAATTTTACAGTTATGTGCTTGGCGCTTCCTGGAAGCTGAGGGTGCTGCTTAGGGCCCCAGGGGCCACATAGTGGACTCAGAATTCCTGCAAGTGGTCAAGGATCCTCAGGGTACCATTGTCTGCCCAGAGAAGGCAAGAAATGAAACTGGGTTTCTCTGCTATCTGTGGGGTCAAGTGGAGTGCTCTTCCTCATTCCCTAGTGATGGCCTAGTGAGGGGAAGCTCAGAGCCTGGGGAGGGTAGCAGTCAGTGCTTGGGTTACCTCTCCTCACAGCCTGGGCTTGAAGGAGTGGTCCTGAGCAGAAAGCTCTGTTCTCAACTTCCTGAGTATCTGTGTGCCGGTCAAGAACATCCCACATCCTCCCTCAATGGCCTGGCAGATTGCTCCCATACCTCAGGCCCCATCTATCTACTCCCAGTTCCTGTCATTGTGATCAGGTATTGCCTGAATTAGTTTTTCTTTGAGCAAGGATTTTTTTTTTTTTTTTACCTTTTAAACTGATTTTATTCATGATTGCTAAAAAGCAGAAACAGTTTCATGCATTTCAACAGGTGGAAAGACAAACTGTATTCTATCCATTCACTAAGAAACACAGCCACATCTCAAATGGACCACACTAACCGAATGAAGGCTGAGCTTGTATGACATAACAATATAGCGTTCTCAGAAAGAAAATATGTAGAAATAGAAATTAAATCACCATCAGGGAGGAGCAAAGGCAGCATGACCGATTTGTGTCACCATGAAGTCGGGGGTTAAAATACACAAGTCCGTAATCATCTTTATTTCTTCTTCCCACCTTTGCCACACAAGGACAGCATATGGTCCTAGAGGCTGAGGCCATAGCTTTTCACCTGAGCCTTATCTTGGATGTGTTCCTACAGCAGAAGTATGTTTCAAACCCAAGTTCAAGTCATGTACCTCCTACTCTGATCTTCCCTTGCCCAGATCTCCTTGGACATGAGATATTAAAGCTGGGAGGCTCAGCTCTGTTTCTAACTCAGCTACTCTCCTACCTACACCTTGGTGGGATGGACTAAGAGTCTTGGCTTACACCCATGGTGATCAGCTCAGAGTACAGCTGGATCCCTTGCAAGGCGGTGCTACCCCGTGGGCACTCTGGGTAAATGTGAGAAACATCTATTTCAAAAGAGCGACTCTTGGGTCTCATTCAGTTTCACAGTCCTGGCCTCCAGCCGGCAGCTTCTTTCCTGCCGAGGCTGCTGGTTTAGTTGCTTCCTCTGAAGAGGTGAGGTCAGGTGTTATTGTTGGAGCCCGAAGCTGCATGTGGATGGAGGGTGGGGCCATGGTGGTGGGTGAGGGTGGCTAAGGGCCGTGGACACCTGTCCTGAGTCCGGGCAGGATTCCACTTGACCTATCAGCTGGCTCTGAGGACCTGCCCAGGGGAGAGGCCTGTGCCCTGAGATCCAGACCAGCTGGCCTTGCCCCCCTATTTCTTGCTGAGGAATCTATCTTGGTGAGTCACAGCTTCTTGGAGACTTTGGTTCTTGCTTTGTGAATTGGGTGTTAAAACAAACCACTTAACTTGCTGCAAGGACTTCCATGGGCTCAGAGAGAGAGAGAGAGAGAGAGAGAGAGAGAGAGAATGGATAAAATGGTTTTACAAGCCATTTTTTTTTAAATCAATTGCTCTGCATGAACTCTGTGCCAAGAATTGGCAGTAGAAGTCCCATCCCTGAACTTCAGTTTCCCATCTTGGGAGGCGAGACCAGGGCTGATAGGATTCTTTTTCTTCCTACAGACCCACTTCCTGCATTCCCTCCATCCTGCACACATCCAGCAAGCACAGAGGGCTCTTGGAGGAGGCTGTCCCAAAGATTCCTGCTGATGCTTGTCTGATCCTGCCTTCTGTGAAGCATGGCCCCCACAGGATTACGGGACAAATCATAGTCCCTGAGCCTCGCTGCTCCTCTGGGACTTTTACAGCCCCACTTGGCTCCAGGTGCTGCCAAGCCTCGAGACTCCCATCCCAACAATGCCTTCAGGAGCCATGGCCACGGCTGTATGAGACCATTTGCAGAACAGGACTTGACCCTGCTACCCAGCAAGCCTTCCCTCGTAACTTCCCCCTGCCTCCCATGTCTAGCTACCAGGGCAGACCTAGAGAATGTCTGTGCCCCGGATCCAAGTGGAAGAAGTGGGTGAGAAAGACAGGCCAGCAGGGGCAGCCGTCCCTCCCGACGACCACCTCCTCAGCCTGAAGGCCCTCACTGAGAAACTGAGGCTAGAGACCCGAAGACCCTCCTACCTGGAATGGCAAGCCAAGCTGGAGGAGCAGACATGGCCTTTCCCGAGGCAAGCTGCCCAGCGAGAGGCAGGTTTGGAGCAGGGAGCATGTGGAGGTGGAGAGCCTTTGATCCCTCTAAGGGAGCCCGGAGAGCTTCTCCCACCTGCCAGGAGTGCCAGCAGGGGTGACAGGCCACTGACCACGGGCAAGCTGGAAGGCTTCCGGAGTATCGATGAAGCTATAGCCTGGCTCAGAAAGGAACTGGTGAGTTGCTGCCCTGCAAGAAGCCCATACAAGTGTGCCATGTGTGTCCCCTCCCTCTTTCTGTCTGACTTTGTGTTCCTGCATGTTTGTCCTCCCGTCTCTGCCTGTTTCCCGTCTGGGCATTCTGTCTTCCTGTTAGGTAAAGGGTGGATCCCATATCTCGGTGGATACATGGGGCCTGGGTCAGTCAGTTCCTAATTAAAGATATGGGGGAAACAAGTGCTAGCCCAAGGATCTGAGCCCACATTAAGGTGTTTTGTCTTTTCCTCACCAGAATCAATGTCTCTTTCTTATTCCTGGATAGCTAGGGGATTCCTAGGGTTTACCTGTACTTATTTCTCTCTGAAACCCTCTCTCCACCCTCCACAGTTGTCTACAGGGTTGGGCACTACCCCTCACTCAGCAAGCGAGTGACCTCTTTCCCTCAGCTGGGAGTTGACACTAGCTGGATGATGGCTCTCCCTGGGTGATCAACTCTGGGAAGGGCTCTCATCTGGGGTCATAGCTGTAAGTACTGGGACTCAGTGTGGGGAGTGCTATTTAATAATTCAAGGTGTACAAGAGCTTCCAGAAGGGGACACATGACTGATCACGCCTGGGGTGAAGGCATTGGTGCAGGCTGTTGAGTAAGAGTCTGCCCAGAAGTCAGGGTGGGTCCGGCCTTCTGGATGGAATGAGCAAGGGCAGAAGATGCTGAGTGGTGCAGCAGCTGGATCCTTTTACTGCCCACAGGCAAAACAAATTCCCATCAGGAACCTCTTACCACCACAAAAATTCCGGGGAAAGGAGGGCGTTGTCCTATCCTGCCCCAGGAAGACCACTAGGTTCCACCCCTCATGGCTTCTCAGCAGACCCAGACCTGAAACAAAGCCTCCCCCAGCTTCAGCTGCTTCCCTGAATTACCTACAGGGCCATCTGACTCCAAAGAGCCAGCAGTCAAGGGCCAGCTGCCTTCCAGAGCTGGCCGTAACTCTCTGGCCTGTTGGCAAAGCAGAGGCCGGCTTGGTTTGTTTAGCTGAGTCCTGCAAGATGTCTCTCCACTGGGCCCTGAAATTTCCCTGAAATAAAGCACTGGGCTAGTTCAAGGATGGAAGCAGCTCAGGAGGTTGGGCATCTGATTAGTCGGGAACCTCTCTAGTTGACATTGAGACTGATGGGTGGGGTTTTCACAGAAAACCCTGTGGATTCTTGCTTTGGGACCCCTGGGTTCTCACAGGAGCATAAGAGGTGGAAAGGTGGGCGTGCAGGGCCAGAGACAGACCCTGAGAGCTCTACCCTGAATTCCTGAGGCCAAACTGCTTTGATCTGACATAGGAACATTTTTCACATAGGGACAAAAAAATATTCCCATTAGCCAAGGATGCAGTTTGTTGGTTTTGGGTTTGTTTGAGAGTTTATTGCTTCTAGAAGCAGAGTTGTTGGCTGTTTAAATAAGTTCACATTCCTTGTGGGCTCCCCTTTGGGGTAGGGAATAGAGAAAATTTTCCTCTGAGTGAATGGAAAACAGTAGGGGCTTCCTTCGACTTTCTTAGACACTCCCTTTAGATAGAAAGGTACCATGGTGAGTTTTGAAAAGATAGCAAGCCTCCGTCACACCCCAGGCTGTTGAAATGAACACCTAGGATATGATGCTGAACATGTAGAGTCTTTAAAGGGTGGTTAAAGCAGCACACAGCCTAGGCTGAGAACATTGCCTGAGATCCACAGGGCATACTCATGCCCATTGTCAAGACACTTCAAACCAAGTGTGGCAAGGTGCCTCACCCAGGGTGCTGGCTAAGAGGAGGAGGCCAGCCATATTCAGGGAACTCAGACTGTAGAGTCCCAGGGCAAGACAGTCATAGTCAGGACTAATTTGGCTGCCAAAGGCTCTCTGATGCAGGCACAAGAAATACATGCCTTAGTAAGGTGCCTTCCATCTGCATAATACTTTCTGTTCCCCTGGGTGGCCATGGGTGGGTAAGGCTGGAGGTGATGACAGATGTGTCACAGTGCTCACTGTGTGCCAGGTGCTTCGCTGGGTTACTCACGTCTCATTGTCATGTGACCTCACCTTTCCAAACTCTAATCTCTCATTTCCTTTTTTTTTTTAACCTTTCTTTTTTAAAATTCATTTATTTATTTTTTTATTGATTATAGTTTATTCACTTTGTATCCCAGCTATAGTCCCCTCCCTCATTTCCTCCCAATTCCACCCTCCCTCCCTCATCTCCTCCCCGTGTCCCTCCCCAAGTCCACTGATAGGGGAGGTCCTCCTCTCCTTCCCTCTGACCCTAGCCTATCAGGTCTCATAAGGACTGGCTGCATTGTTTTCCTCTGTGTCCTGGTAAGGCTGCTCCCTCCTCAGGGGTAGGTGATCAAAGAGCCAGCCACTGAGTTCATGTCAGAGATAGTACCTGTTCCCATTACTAGGGAACCCACTTGGACACTGAGCTGCCATGGGCTACATCTGTGCAAGGGTTCTAGGTTATCTCCATGCAAAGGAATCTTTTCTGAGACTGATACTCCAAACTCTCATTTTCAAGAAGACCAAAAAGACTCAGAGATGAAAGCAGCTGGGAATAAGGAAGCTGGCATTTGAGCCCTGGGCCATCAGGTCACTTTGCCAATGGTAGTCTTAGCTGCTGCTACAGAATACAACATCCTCCATAGGCAGTCGGTTCCCAGAGTTCACAGGAGTGTCAGCAGTCAATGGAATGTATAGGTTGGAGGCAGAGAGAAAAACACGGTTGAATGAGAATTCCCTGCATTCCATTCAATCTTACAAAGGTCCTGTGCACTTGCGTCATTGTTCTCATCACACAGCCGAGCTCGGTGAAGCTCCTGGGAGTCAGTGAACCTGACCAGGAAGGAAGTAACAGAGCCAGGGCTCAGACTCAGCCTTCACTCTTGGGAAACACAGGAGTAAAATGACCCCACTGGGGCAGGTCCCGCTGATTATGCTGCAAAAGCCATTTGGCCTTGGAGCTCCAAATGTGCATCCAGATCCCCCTGAGCCTCTCTTACGGATGAATATTGTGTCCTGTGGGTCTGAGGTGGGGTCTGGGATGTGGAATTTCCAATATGTTCAAAGGGACGCTAAATGTCCTATGCTGTGCCGCATCTAGAGAGTAACAAGGACCGGAGAAGAGACCCGGGGATGTGAAGAGACTTCAGCAGACAGATCTGGGAGTCCCCAAGCTTGAGCTCCACATCCTGTCCCTGCCTTACCCACCCCACAAAGCCAAGCTTAGACAGCAAAGGGGGGTCTTAGTGAAGACCACCACTTAGCAAACCCCTGCCTAATGTTGCAGGAACCCCACATGCTTACCACTGGCCTTTCAGAGGCCCGCAGCAGTGTCAGTGCTGATTTGACACCCCCACGCCTAATTCTGCCCTGTCAGAGATCAGACACCAGCAAGGGCAGTAAAACACCTGGCTGGAAGCAGCTTGGTTGGAATGCTTTTTACTCTCTGTCTCAGTTCAAACAAAGCTTCACACTGTTTTTCTAACTTGTCCTGTGTTCACCCTCAAAGTGAACCCACCTATGTTTAAGGCACCAGTGAAAGTAGTTTTCATAACCTTTGTTATGCTGTATTGATTTACATTCAGAATCAGGGTTTCTCTGTACCTGGGCACCCCTAAGCCTCCCTGCTTATTTGTCAGAGTATTGGCTCATTCGCAAACTTATCATTTCTCCCACATGTCCTAAGGAGTAGACTGGGTGAGACTCTAAGTCAGTATGTGGGCCTTCCCCCTCCGTGTTGCCAAACACCCAACTCAACAGAAGCTCATCTATAGTCCTGGGAAATGGATTTCCTTCCCATACTAGACATGCGCCCTCCCATGGACCTATATCCCCAGTCATCCTTCTGTTATGCTTTCTTGTTAACTTGCATAGACTGACCTTGAACTCACTCTATAGCCCAGTCAGGTCTTGAACTTGAACTCCTCCTGCCTCTGCTTTGGAAGGAGATATAAATTTAGGCCTCTGCCACCAGACCCTGGTTTTAATGGAAGTTTAGGTCCTAGTAGAGGGCAACTTGTTGTGTGCCTCCATTCCATCTTGTAGGCCTTCTGGGAGGAGTTAAAACAGCCAGGAAGGCAGCTAGGGGCAGGAAGCATTTTCTACCATTTTCCTACCCTCCCCTGCCTCCTCCAAGGCCAGGGAGAGGGGTTGTGGGATCTGGACAGATTTCCAAAGCAAAGAAGGTGCTGGAGGCTCCCTCCTAGCTTTTACCCCCAAGGTATGGTGTGTCACTGCCAACATCCCTGTCAAACTAAAATAGAATGGCTTTTCCTTCAGCTAATGGACCAGGGATATTGGAAAGCAAATCTGCAAAGGTCAAGAGGTGTCTCTGAAGGGGTATGATTCCTGGACCACTGCACTGAGCTCCTTTACTCCAACCCCTTTTCATGCTAAAGTCTTGGGCCACATGGAGGCAGTTATAACAGGAACAAAGCCTACAACTTAAGCTTAGGGATCACCCCCAGGTCTCCCATCTGATATCTCCCCTTGTTCCTTTGGTCCCACCATGACTCTCCATTCATCCCTTGATTCTCAAACTGCAAATACATGATATCCAACTTAGGCCTGGCATCTGCTCCAACTAGACCACATCACTACCCAACTGTGGCTGGCAGGACAGCCTCTGTGCTTGGTGGTTTGGGCTCCCCTGACACCTCCAGGCAGAGATATAAACTCACTCTTCTCAGGGACCTGGAAAATAGCCATGGTGTTTCTTTGCTAGACTGCAGAAGGTCACAATCCCCACCTCCGACCCTGCAGTGAAGTCAGCCTAATGGGTGGTCTGGGGTGAGGTGGTGGCAGTTCTGGAAGGGTGAGCTGGAAGACCATGACCCTGAGCAGAAGTCTGTCTCCTCCTTCCAGTCATGTCTTACAGTCAGTCACCTGCCTTCTGTCTTGTCTCTGTGGTCTTGCTCAGAAGTGCCCTTGACAGACAAGGAGAGAAAAAAAACAAACAAAACAAAACACAGAGCCAGCATGGTGACACATGCCT